TTGGAGGTGCATCCCGATTCCATCCGTTCTCCGTGCTACACTTGAGAAGTTCGACTCGTGGTGTCTTTTCTCGACTTGGATTCATTTTCTATTCCGCTCGGTAGATATTCTACTCTATCGACGAAGCTTATTCGAGAGAGCACTCGATTAGAGAGCGAATTTCGAGTTATGGTGGATCGTTTTGCTTCCTTGAAAGGGAAAGGCCTCACTCCCGTGTACGATGGAACTCAACCTTTAGACACGAGTGAGGACATCGATGAGCTTATTGTCAAAGAACTTCCTCCTTGTGATGACGTGGACTTGCAATCAACACACGGTACGTCAAATCTTCTTCCGTTGACGGTGCTTCGGGTTTTGATTCGATTGATGAGGAGAGTATGGATTCGGAAGTTGATGTTGAGGATGCATTGGGAGATAATTCAAGTGAGGATTTGAGTGAGCCGAGGGGTAATGAAGGTGTTGGTGATGATGAGGAGGAGAATGATGATGGTAATGAGGAGGAATCCGAGCATTTAAATGATGTTGTTGAGTCGGATGTGCCGTGTGTGGATGAGATGCCTTGGGATGTTGAGAATAAGGTGGTGCCCATGTCCTTTGTGGCGTCATTTCGTGTTATCGAGGATTGTGACGAAGAGGAGGAGTTCACACCCGTGCTCCCGATGATTGAGGTTGTTAACTACACGTTCGAGATAACACTTGTGATTCCCGGGATGATTTCGGCATGCTCCACGGATATATTCATATTTTCGGAGGTCGACTATGGGGCCGTGATGCGTAAAGATCTATCTCTCCTCTTGTTGGTTGTTGAAATCCGTGCGTGGTTTCACAAGAACGCGGCCACGAGAGCTTACCTTGCCCGCCTTTGTTCCATGCTACCGGATCGGTTTCTCTTAAAAAATACAAAGGCGTGGCATGATCGACATTTTTTCTTGTATCCCGGTTGATTTTTGTTGGGAATGTCGAGCTCAAGACAATAAATTGAGCGCTTCGTGGGAGGCAACCCATGGTTTATGCTTTTTCTAGTATTTCCCTTTTTATTGAGAATAAATAGCCCCGCAAAATCACACAACACACGGTATTTTCGGAGAAAGAAATGGGTCTCGGGCCGAGATTTTGGTGAAAATGGGTTGAAATATGATTAAGTGTTGAAAATGAGGCTAAGTATGAAAGAGTGGACAAAATTTGGGCGAAAACGGGTCGAGAATCGAGCGAAA